TTGCAGCAAGCGGAACTGCCTGACAAGCTCCACATCAAGCAGCTTGGTGTTATTGACTGGCGCAGTCGGCACACAGCTGATCTGGAGAGGGTGCACGGTGATATTGGGGCGCCCATGCGTCTTGCACTCCCATACCGGCAACGTGAGCCTGCCCACCACGCCGAGCGGCCCATAAAACACAGCTGCCTGGCTGCCCGTCTTGTGCAACTCACAGCAGCTGCCATTTTCTGCTGCTAAGTGGCAAGGAAGCGGCTCCATGCTGGCCAGCTGGGCTTGCCGCTGCTGGAGCTGCTGCTGGCGCTCCTGCCGCTGCTGCGCCGCCCGGCCCGGCAGAGAGGCCAAGAAGGCATCCACGTCCGCTCCGAGCCGAGCCTCCCAGTGATCACGTTTGCGTCCTTGCCGGTCGCCCCAGCCTAAGAAGCCGCTGGGTGCTCGCTCATCCTCGTTGTCATCCCTCTCACCCCGCCGCCTGGCCTGCCCTGGCACATTGAAGGGAGCTTGTTGTCCTGGTCTACTTGCACGGGATCTTTTTGGCTGTGGCCCGTCTAGAGGCCTGGGGGCCGTGGTCTTGCTAACCACCTTCACCCTAAAGTGGTGGCTCATGTCCTAGAAAGCGTATTACGGTTGCTGGGATGCCAACAGAACAAACGGGAGGGAGAATGATGCATGATTGAGGATGATGTCCCCAATGACCCTCCAGGTGGGGGGCCATCATGCCCATCATGGGGCACATCCTTACCGGGAGGCCTACCTGTGCATCCATTCTGGCGGCAGCGTACCATAGCTGCAGAAGCATTGGCCCACAACTCCGTTGAGCGCATCGCTGTTCTGGTTGCAAATATTGCCGTTGGGGCAGTCTGCCGAGGTGTTGCAGAGTAGTGGTGGCGCAGGAGGCGATGGTGGCTTTGGCGAGGGTGGCACTCTCAGGCTGAAACGGGGAGGATTTGGCCCACAACACAATACCCTCCGCCCAACAGGGCCATCAGTCATGTGTGAAACAGGACCCACAGCGGCCTGGAGTTCCTGGACTGCCACCCCTGCGGTGCACGTGCTGCTGTTGCAGTCGCTCCGTCGCCGCACGCCGTGCGCAGCGCGCCTCCGCACGCCGGCGTCCCCTCCTGTTGTGGCCGTACATACCGCATTGGGGAATAGCGGCCACTACAATGTCGCTGCTGGTGCCAATGGTTTCAAGTACTGGCGCCCAGTAACAGTGTAGGGATCTGTTGAAGCTGCAGGGAGTGCTCCGCTGTTGAGTCGGGGCGCCCGCCGGCGCCAGGCGGTGCTGCGCCGCCACCTCGGCGCGTATATGTAGGATTCTGTCGTCAATCACTCAGCAGCCTGCTGCAAGGCGGAGCCTGACTGAACTCCTTGGAATGCACCTGTATCTGGGGACCAGCACACAGCCAGTAGATCCATAGGAACTGCCTTCCACAGGGCGCCAGGGAAAAATTTAGCGTCCGTAAACGCGTACCTGACGCACTTTTAGAGTTCTCAGGCGAAATACGGATCGCGTTGGGGCTGCATGCGCCGCGAGGGACGCATCTGAGTTGTGTTTTTGGCCGCTGTGGTACGTCAGCGGTACACGTGCCGTACATGCAGTGGACCGCTGGAAACACGATTTCGGGGTCCAAAATGGGGTTCGGCGAATGCCTCAACCTCCAGGAGGCTGGGGGCCGCGCCCCCAGGCCCCCTATGACCACTGAAACAGAACTTGCCGGCTCCTAGAGGCCATTGTCCGGGCCTTTGGATTTGGGTGGATACGTACAATCCGTAGAAATTGTCGGATCCGAGTTATTTCCTAAGTTAAACCCTGCAGGGCGCGCCAGCAGGGCGCGCTGCCAGCAAAGCGCGCTGCTGGAGGCGCGCTGCCAGCAAGGCGCGCTGCTGGCGGCGCATCTAGCGCAGGGTTTAATTTAGGAAATAACTCGAACCCGTGAGCTTTTACGGCTCTACCCGTATTCCAAAAACGCGAATGTGCCAGAGGGCAGCCTCCTGAGGAAAAACACCATGTGTTTTCGTGTAAGGGGGGTCTGGGGCTCCAGGGGTCTGGGGCTCCAGCTTCCAGGAGCACTTCGAGTATTTGGGGACCCATTGCAACCCCCAAAAGGCACTATCCGGCCCTTCCAGTCATGTACTGCATGGTGTACTGCAACGGCCTGCAACGGCCTGAAAAACAACTCGAACACGTGTATTTGTACGGCTTGGCCCCTTTTTCGGCCTGATTTCAGCTGAGAAACTCAAAAACTGCCGTTAATACGGGCAACACGGGCTCTAAATGTTTCCCTGATCTAGCGTTTGCATTCTTCTTCTCCAAGAACTTGCCGCTCCCTGATGTACTCTTGAGCATATGTACTCTTGAGATGATGAGAGCAAGTGAGGGGGCATGGCTGGCCGCAATCAAAATTAATTGCCGTTCATCCGCTCTGTAACACAATGCATCGTTTAGGGAACGCTGGCCATTCTGCACACAACTAGCGCATGGATCCAGCCGGCCAGCCGGTGCCCCTCTGCCAGCGGCCCCCTGTTGCAACACAGCGGCATGCAAGCGCACCTGGTGACCGCACCTGGAGATGGGGTGGCGCCCGCGGTGCTGCTCAGCCTGCCTGGCAGCGCCTGCGACGGGCGGGGGCAGGCGGCGGCGCAGTACTTGTTCAACGTGCCCGAAGGCTTCTCCCGCCTGGTGCTGGAGCACAGGCTGCGCCCAGGTGTGGCCGTGTCTGCCTTGTGGGCGATGGGCAGCTGCGAGGACGGCGGCAGCGACAAAGCCACCAGACAGCCAGCCTAGCTTGGCGCCCGCTGTGCATTTGCTGCGCGTCCGATTGCCCTGTGCCTCGTCGTTTTATTGCAGGCGCGGGGCTGCGGGCGGCGTTTGCAAGCGACATGGCCTCCTTGGCTGGGTTTGGGGGCCTAGTCATGCGGCTACGAGGAGAGGGCCACGGGCAGCTGCATGTGGTTGGGCCCACAGGTGGGCCAGCCAGCCAATCCTACTGCCCACCGGCATCAACCATCCTGCCTTTACCTCAAGTACCCCGTCCGGGCAGCCAGCAGGGTCCATCATCTATTTCAAACCAGTGCCTGCCTGCCCAACCGCCCACCTGCTTGCCGGCTCTCTCGCCTGCCCGCAGGCACCCGTGCCGCTGTGTGCAGCCTGCACCACTTCATCCACTGGCGCCACCCGGCTGTTCTGGTCGAGGAGATGGCACCCTGGGAGGCGCAGCCGACGGTGTACCAGGCAAGCAAGTGGTGCAGGCCTGCAGCCTAGCAGCCGGCCAAGCTTCCTGCTGCGTGGTGTTATGCCGCTGCCTCTTGGCCGACTTGCTCGCAGGATGAACATGTGGCGATTGCGGCCCTGTGGAAGCCTCCCCTGCTGGCGGCAATGTGGCCTGCCCCTGCCTGGCTCTTGCAGCCTCGCCCTGTGCAGCATGCTATGTCATCAAGCATAGATACAAGTGGGCACAGCAGCAGCAGCAGTGAGGAGAGTGGCAGCAGCAGCGGCGGCATCAGCAGCAGCGAGAGCAGCGAAAGCGAGAGCAGCAGAAGCGAAAGCAGCGAATGCTTGCAAGGCAGTTTGCCAGATGCAGTAGCTGAGGAGCAGCTGAGATGGGACCAGGGGCAAAGCAGGGTTGATGGGGCCAGCATGTTTGATGCCCTTGATAAAGTCTTCATGGAGGGCGGCAGCAGCAGCAGAAGGCTTGCATTGGAGCACTTGAAAGCGCCCCACCATGCAGTTGCAGCCGCAAATGCTGATGCCTTTGGCGTTGCTGTTCAAGCGGCAGTTGCAAGAAGTAAGGTCCCTACCAAGGTGGCGGCGGCGGCGGCAGCAGCGATGTCTGCTGCGGCGGCGGTGCCCCCTAGGCGGCGGCAGCAGCCTGCGGCTGGCGATGATGCCGATGACGTGGCGGTGGTCGGCGGGAAGCGCTTTCAGCGGCTGCCAGCCCAGGCGGGCATCAATGTTTGGGTGTGCCAGAAGGTTGCCACACGTGCAACATCAGCAACCGGTGCCGGATCGGTAGCGGCAGGAGCGGCAGGGTTGTCTGCCGCTGCCAGCAGCGGCGCAGCAGGGAAAGCGCAGGGCCCCGACCATCAGCAGCCAGCAACGAGTGCAGCAGCTGTCACACCCGCTCTGCCCGCCATGCACGACCAGCAGGTGCTGGCATTTGTGTGCCACCTCAGGGCTAGCGACCAGCTGCTGCTGCTGACCAACCTCCACAGCAAGGGTGCCGTGGCGCAGCTGCAACGGCACCCCGCACTGGCTCTGCTGCAGAGTCAGGGCAGCCGGCTGGCAGGCGTCCTGCACATGGCCGCCCCCGGCGTGGCTGGCAGCAGTGCGCTGCGCCAGCTGTGCCATCAGCTGCAGCCAGCGGTGGCAGCGGGGCCGGCTGCTGGGCAGCAGCTGCTGCTGGAGCAGGCCGGGGCTCACGCCGGCGCACAGGTGTGTGGCTGTGCACTCCAGGCTGTGTGCCTGCCTCGCTCCTGCCCACCAGCCCGGGGGGGGGTGCTGTGTGTGCTGATGCCGCCATTTACCAACACGCAGGTCATCGGCCACCTGGCAGCGGCTCGCACCAACGCCAAACTACACGTTGTCAGCAGCCGCATCTTTCCCCTGCCAGCTGGAATCCAGGCGCCACGTGCAGCACAGCCACCCCCCGCGTCGGCCACACCGCAGAGTTGCGCAAGCAGCGGCAGCGGTTGCGGCGCAGCCGATCCCGGTGTGCAGCCCAGCAGTGCAGAGCACGACGGCCAGCAGGGGCAGGAGCAGGAGGAGAGTGTGGGGCTGGTAGCGGAGCAGCTCGCCGCGGACTGCCACCAGGCCATGGCAGCAGGGGCAGTAGCTGTGAGCAGCAGCGCCAGCGGTGTTGTGAGCATCAGGCACGTGTCGCTCGTCACCTGGAAGCAGCGCCCGCCAGAGGAGCAGCCACAGCCACGGCAGCTTGCCAGCAGCGGTGCTGCTGCCACTGGCGCATGTCCCGGCGGCGGCGCTGTCAGTCAGCAGCAGCAGCCGCGGGCGGCCGCCGTGCTGGTGGTCGAGCCTGGGGAGGGCTTTGCCGACGACGCTTGGTGTGCGGCCAGCGCGGTGCAGCAGGGGCGGCCGCTGCTAGTGGCGGCTCTCGAGCGCCTGCAGGAGCAGCAGCAGCGCGGGCTGCTGCCGTCGCGGGAACTGTCGGCAGCGGGGGCGGCCACATGGCAGTGCCGGCAGAACCTGGTGGGCCCGCCGCCTCCGCCACCGCTGCCTCCCACGACAGCGGGTCCGGCCCAGCAGCCCATTGCATGGCCCGCTGGCGTGGCACCGCAGCAACCGGGTGCTCCTCCACAGCAGCAGCAGCCTACGATCATGCGCCCTCTCTACCAGCATGCCCCTGCTGCACCGCATCAGCCGCTCTTGACCCAGCCCATGCATTTGCAGCCAGCGCCGTCGCCCCCGGGGCAGCTCCAGTCTTACCGGCAGCCAGCACTGGCTGCCCGCAGTGATAGGCAGCAGCCCGTGCATCATTGCTCACCCCCACAGCTGCATCCACCACCACCCCGGCCACCTGAGCTGCCAGACGCTGGCGGTGGCTTAGCAGCCAACAAGAGGGCGGCTGACAGCATCAGGGCGCGGTTGCAGGGCGGCAAGCGCCCACGGGCGCCAGAGGGCGGCGGCGACGGCGGCAGCTCAGCAGCAGGGCCCCAGCAGCCGCAGCAGTCACTGCCGCCGGAGGAGCCGCGGTGGCTGCGGGGCGCCCCCGCCAGCATCTGCCAGCTGGCGTCAGGCGGTGCAGCGGGATGCGCCCCAGAGGTGGTCTTCCTGGGCACAGGGTCGGCGGAACCCTCCAAGTACCGAGGTGCTTCCGCCATCCAGCTCAGGCAAGCAGCCAGCCTGCCGCCCGCCTGCCGGCCAGCCAGCCGCCTGCTCATCGCCGCGAGGAGCAGCAGGAGCCGTCGTTGCCGCCGCCTGCGTGCGTCCATGATGACAGCGTTGCTGCCGGCCCGGCCCCGCCCCCTGCAGGCTGCCGTGCGGGCAGAGCCTGCTGCTGGACTGTGGGGAGGGGGCGCTGGGGGCGCTGCGCCGCGCCCACGGCGCCGCCGCCGCGATGCGCCAGGTGGCCAGCCTGGGCTGCCTGTGGGTGTCGCACAGGCATGCAGGTGCGTGGGGCCCAGCTGCGCAGCGACGCGCTGCTCAAAGCACTGGTCTGGCCCTGCTCGCTACCCGCTGCTCGCTACCCGCTGCGCCTGCTCGCTACCCGCCCGCCTGCCTGCCACCTGCCCGCAGACCACATGTCGGGCGTGGCGTCGCTGCTGGCGGCCTACCCCGCCTCGCTGCCGCCGCTGCTGGTGGTGGGGCCGCGCTCGCTGCGCGACTGGCTGGCGGAGGCGGCGCCGGCGCTTCGGCTGGCGGGGCGGTACCGCTTTGTGCACTGCGCGGAGCTCAACCGGCCAGGTAGCCAGGCACCGCTGCCATGCCTGCCTGTCCGCCTGCCTCTGCCCGCCCGCCCGCCACCTTGCCTTTCATGACCTGATGCCGGGGCATGACCTGCGGCGGGAGCCGTGCCAGCGCTCACGCACTGGTGGCCTGGTTGCTGGCCGTGCAGACCACTGGGCGCGCCAGGCGCTGCGCCGCCACCTGGGCATCACCCACCTACAGTGCGTGCCCGTCCGCCACTGCTCCGGTGCGCACAGGCTGGCTGCTGCCGCCTGACCAGACGGCAGCCTGGCTGGCTTGGCTGGCCGGGGAGCGTGCCGCTGCACTTGGGGGCATCAGCAGGCGCTGCGCCACCCCCCCGCCTGCAGATGCATACGGGCTGGTGCTGCAGCATGAGCAGGGGTGGAGCCTGGTGTATTCTGGAGACACCCAGCCCTGCCAGCAGCTGGTGCAGGTGTGGTAGTGTTGGTGTGTGTGTGTGTGGCAGCGAGGAGCGCGTGACCTGACCCGCACCCTGGAAGCTTGCTGTGCTCCCGCTTGCCCGACCCGGCTCCATTGCTGCCCGCTGGCCTGCCAGCCTGCTCACCTGGCGGCCCCGTGTGCCCGCTGGTCTGTGCAGGCGGGGCGCGGCTGCACCCTGCTGATCCACGAGGCCACCTTTGAGCCCTGCCTGGAGCAGCAGGCGCGCCAGAAGCGGCACAGCACCACCGCCGAGGCGCTGGAGGTGGCGCAGGTGCGGGCCGCCTCCTGCCGGTACGGGGCGCCTCTCCTGCCGGGGCTGGCCCTGCCTCCCGCGTTTCAGCGCCCGGCAGCCCTGGCGCCCACCACTCCTCATGTGTGGCCGTATGTGGGGTGCTTGCCCTGAGGTGCCCGTTGCACTGCCATGTACCGCAGAGAATGGGCGCGTACCGCTGCATCCTCACCCACTTCAGCCAGCGCTACCCCAAGTGGCCCCAGGGCCTGGATCAGCTTCAAGCAGACGAGGAAGCCAGATCGCCAGAAGGCGCCGAGTTAGATGGCGGCAAGGGAGGCACACCGGCAGCCCCCACCTCCAGTTTAGCTGCCGCAGCCACGGCTGCGGTGGCATTTGACGGCATGCGGGTGCCGCTGGCGCTGCTGCCGGTGCTGCCGGCGCTGATGCCAGCGGTGCAGGCAGCGCTGGCAGATCCTGAGGATGGGGAGGCTGAGGGCGATGGGGATGGGGACACCGCAGGCGGCGCGTGACGAGGGTGCAGACAAAGTTGCCTGAGGGCTGTCCTTCATTCCATTTGCGGGCCATGCCGTCGGCTGTGCATCACACAGTTTTGGCGATGGGTAGATATAAAATAGGCGAAATCAAAGAGCTGGTAGTACTGCGAAAGTTCTGTGCCGAGCTTGAATGTGTGTTTAGAGAGAGAGAGGGAGAGAGACGGGCGGTGCTTGCAGGCCGTGTGCGTCACATCGCCTCGGCCTGCGCCTCCTCCTCACCGCTGGAGGCAGCTGGCTGCGCCGAGGGCGGCATCCACGCCACCCCCTCGTACCGCGGCTGCAGACCAGCACTGCCCAGCGGCGCGGGCTGGCGCTGCTCGGGCCGCTGCTGCGCCGCTGGCCCCTTCCGCCGCTTCTCCTGCTGCTGGTATGCGTGCAGCTGCTCCATCACCAGCCACGCCTCCTCCTCCTCCCGGGCATCAAAACCCAGCTGCGCCTCGTTGAGAAGCCAGTCGTACATGCTGCATCCAAGAGTGGATGGGTTGGGGGGGGGGGCAAGCCGCACAGCACGGCAGAGTCAAGAGAGAATGCAGGGAGGGCGGGGTGGGGCAGTCCAGCGTGCGCCAGCAGCCTGCTCGCCCGCCTGCCGCAGGTCGGCCGTGGTGGTGGTAGCCGCCCGCTATGGAAAGAGAAGGGTGCCCTGGCCGGCCACGCCTGCCAGCAGCCAGCCAGCCAGCTTTGGCCCAAGCGACTCCACCCCCACCCCTCCTGCAACCTCCCCCCCCTCGATACAAGCTAGCCCCGCCGGCTCACCTCCTCTGCTCCACATGGTACACGCCCAGGTTGGAGGCGGGCTCCAGCAGCGCCAGCGCCGGCCCCATCTCCTGCTGCAGCATGCGCCCCACCTCGGGCTTCAGCCGCGGCACGTTGTTGGCGCTGTTACGGCCCCAGCCTGCAGGCGGGCAGCGCAGGTGGCAGGCAGGTGGCAGGCACGAGCGAGGAGCTTGCCGCAAGCAGGAATGGATGCGGCAAAGAGATGTAGCGCAGCGCGCGCATGCAACACAGGATCATAACGTAACTGCGGTACGGGGCAGGCCCTCGGCAGGCTGTGTGCCGCCGGCAGCCCACCGCGCAGGCGCCACGCCCTGGGCCCCCCCCCCCCCCCCCCCCCCCGCAGCAGGCGGGCAGCAGGTGCCGCTGGCTCCCACCTGTCACGATGCGGAACTTGAACCCGGGGTCCAGCTGCTCGCCCCGCAGCGCGCGGCGCTTGAGGTGCAGCAGCCAGCCGCGCAGCACGATGCGCGCGCCCACCACCGACAGAAAGTGAAGGTCCAGCTGGGCTGCGCCAGGGTAGCAGGAGGGGGCAGGCAGGAGAGGAGGCAGGGCAGGGCAGGCGATGAGCTGGCGGGCAGGAGCGGTGCATGGAGGTGCACACGCGGGCAGGGCCTGGTGGGGAGCAGACCGCCGCGCGCGCCACTCGCGCCCCGCCACCCGCGTGAATGGATCCAATCACCCCGCCCCGCCCCGCCCCACATGCACCCGCGCCCCACCTGCCGTGTCTGGCTTGCTGAGGTCCAGCTGCAGCACGCCTCGGTAGCTGCCCTGCTCGCGGTACGAGGCGGCGAAGAAGGCGAGGCCCTCCGCCCAGCGCCCCGCCCGCCCTATCACCTCCATCATGCAGTGCATCGTGATCTCGTCGGCAGGCATGCCCAGGGCGCCGGTGGCGTGCCTGCGGGGCGGGGAGGGGAGGGGAGGGCGGGGGCAGGGGCAGGGTGGCACAGCGGGGCAGGCCGCGGGCACGCAGCCACCTCCTGTGTGCGTGCCTTTCCCAAAGAGGGGTGCGACCGCAGCGCAGTGCCAGGGTGGGCTGCAGAGGCGGTGTGGCCGCGGCAGTCGCGGCAGGCGCAGCAGGCGCAGCAGGCGCAGCAGGCGCACCTGTAGACGCGGGAGGCGGCGTCGGCGTCGCCCACCGTGGCGCACACGCTGAGCAGGGCGTTGACCACGACTGCACTTGGTGGGGGGGGGAGGGGGGGAGGCACGCTTGTTGTGTGCCGGTGTGGGGATGTGGGTGGTGTGGGTGTATGTGCGGGGGCGCCCAGGCAGACCCTTGGTGAGGTACCAAGCCAGGCGCGCCGCCGAGAGCATAAAACGCCGCAGCGGGCACGCGGGCAAGAGGCGTGCCGGGCGTCTGGCGGAGGCAGCGCACCTATGTTGGGCGTCAGCCCCTCCTCCTGCATCTCTTGGAACAGGCGCATGGCGGGCCCCAGGTGCCCCTCGCCCTGCACAGGCGCCAGCAGTCGGCGGCAGGCCAGCCGGGTGAGGCGCGCCACGCGGGGCACGGCACAGCAAGACGCGCGCGCCCACGCCCAACAGCCCCAAGCCTGGCGACAACCTCCTGGGCCCATGCAAGGCCGCGCCCATCCCGCCGCCCAGCCCAGCCCACCGCAGCGCACACCTCCAGCCCTCCCTCCCCGCCCCCCACATGGCCCTCACATGCCCCCCCCAAACCACCACCGCCCGGCAGGCGGGCTCACGTGGTAGCAGCATGACATGAGGGTGGAGTATGTGTACTGGTCCCGCGGCACCCCCGCCACCCGCATCTCATCCAGCAGGTCCAGTGCCGCGTCCAGCTGGCGCGACGCCTCGCACGCCGCCAGCACGCTGTTGTACACGATGGGCGAGGCGGGCAGGCCCCTGCAGCCGGGGCAGGCGGCGGCGGCGGCAGTGGTGGCGGCACGGCGGGCAGAGGTGGTGGGGCGAGGGGGCGAGGCGGCGCGGGGCACGCAGCTTCGTGCGGAGGCCGCGCGCCGTGGCGTGGGCGCCCTCTCCCCACTCCCTGCTCCCTGCCACCAACGGCAATGGCACACGCGCAGACGCATGCAGGCACACGCGCCGCCGCCGCCACCACCGCCGCCGTCCAGCCAAGCCCGGTACTGCCGCACGCCGCCCCACCTGGCCAGCATCTGGTCCTTGAGCTCCACGGCGCGCTGCCAGTCGGCCAGGCGTGCGCAGGCGATGATGGCGGCAGAGTAGGTGACGGCGTTGGGCTGGCTGCCGCTGATGGTCAGGCTGCTCTCCATGCCTGCGGGCACACGTGGCGCACGGCCGGCCGTCGGGCCGATGCTCATGGCGGCCCGTGGGGCAGCGCGGGGCAGGGCAGCGCACGACGGGACCATTGGCGGCTGGCGCCTGCCGGTGCAGGGCCCTGCGCCGCCTGCTGTCCCCACGCAGCAGCCAGCCCGCGTCGCCATGCGCCGCACGCAGCCCAGGCCCCTGCATCCCGTCCATGCACTTGCCCAACCCCGCCCACCCCACAAGTCAGGGTGGGACAAGCACTCTACAGCCCGCACCGCCCCGCCCACCTTCAAACAGCTCCAGCGCGCGCTTCCAGTTGCCGCCCTCGGAGGCACGCACCATGAGCTCCGCGTACGTCAGCTGCGCGGGGTCCTCGCCCTGCGCCTCCATCCACTCTGCGGGGAGGGCGGGGGCGGGGGTGGGGAGTGTGAGGATTGTGAAGGGTCTTGGGGCTGGGTGTGTGGCCTGCACTCCGCAGCTGTGCCTGCACTCCGCAGCGGGGCAGGGCGTTGCCTCCCCCCGCTGGCGCCAGAGGCCCGCAGCCGGCAGTGCTATGGCGGGCATGGGCCCCCATGCTTGCCCGCCTGTCGCCCCACCCGCCCACCTTTGACCTGCACCGCGGTGCGCAGCTTGGCCCAGTTGCCTTGCTTGGCAAAGACGTCACAGAGGGTGGCGTAGGTGGCGCTGCTGCCAGCCACGCCGGCCTCCTGCGCCGCACGGCAGCCGGCAAGCAGGTGGGGCCGCCAACAGTGGGCCACCGTGGGCCATGCCTGCCCCCGCGGCGAAGCTTTGGGGACTGGCAAGGCAGGCCAGCGATCGCACGGGTGCAAGGGTTGCATCAAATCGTGGCGGCGGCCGCGGCCGCCGCCCATCTCGCCCCCACCCCACCCACCGACATCTGCTCAAACACCGCCAGCGCGCGGTCCGGCTGGTTGCAACGCTCCATGCAGGAGATCATGGTGTCTGCGGGCACGCAGGCAGGCAGGAAGAAAGGAAGGAAGACAGGAAGCGACATCATGGCACGGCAGGACATGACATGACAGGAAGCGGGACGGGCATGTCGTGATGGCGCGGCATGCCATCACGTGCCCAGCTCCTGCTGAGCAGCAAGGCCGGGCGACGGGGCGCTGGAGCCATACGGCAGGGGGCACGGCTGGGGAGGCGGTCGAGCGCTCAGCAGCTCACTGTAGCAGATGGTGTCTGGCTCCAGCCCCTGGTCCACCATCCACTGCCACACATCCCGCGCCCGCTGCCAGTCGCCCAGGCGCTCGCAGCAGGCGATGAGGGTGGACACAGTCACCACATCCGCCTGCGGGCGGGCGGCGCGGCAGGAGAGCAACGCGGGCGGGCATACATGAACAGGCACGGCATGCAGGAGAGGGGTGCGCCTGGCGGCTGGCAGAGGCAAGGGGACACACAGCGGCTCAGCAGGCAGCCCGGCGCCCGCCCTCCCTGCTTGCCTGCACCCCCATGCCCTGCATGACCTCCAGGAAGCGGAAGCCCTTGGCGGGCTGCCCCGCACGCATGCACGCGGCGATCACTGCAAGGAGAGGTGAGGCAGGCGGGTGGGCCAGGGCCCGCCAGGCCATAGCCGCCAGCTGCCATGCATATCGCGCATCCGGCGCAGCGTGGCACAGCGCATGCCGCGCACGCTGCGCCCAGCCCAAACCACAGCCGCCTCACATGCGTTGAAGGTGGGCGCCTTGGGCTGCACCCCGTCCTGCAGCATCAGGCGGTACACCGCCAGCGCATCTTCCAGCCGCCCATCCTTGGCCGCCACAGATACGGCCACGGTCTGCGCGGGGCAGCCGGGGCAGCCGGGGCAGCCGGGGAGCGGGAGGGGGCAGCACAATTGAGCGGCGCAAACGAGGAGAGGAGGGCAAGCCCCCAGGGACCCCAGCGCACGCGGCCGGCGCAGGCGCGCCGCGCTGCGGAGGCGGGACGCACAGGCGGGGCGCCACCCCGCAGCTGCCTGGCCCCCTTTATCCCCACCCCCTCCCCCCGCCACCACCGCCAACCACACACGCGCACACACACGCGCGCACACACGCGGCCCCACCTGCACATGCGTGTCCCGGTAGTTGGGCAGCCCCATCTGCATGCCGTGGATGATGCGCAGCACGGCGGGCCAGCGCGCCGCGCCGGGGGCCCTCCCCCTCTGCGGCAGGCGCGGGGGCGGGCGGCGCGGGGAGGCGTGGGCACGCGGCGCGGGCAGCGCACGGCTGGACCCTGGCCCGCCCTCCCG